CAACAATGGTGCGTCAATGTCGTCGTACCGTTGTGTCTTGAACTCGCGGTCGATCTTCGCGATGTACTCCTGAAGGTCGACAACCTCTACTCCGGCGTCCATCAACGGAGTTGGTACTGCAGTGTGCAAATACTCCCGCAATTGTGCCATGAGCACATTGTAATGCGGTTTCGACAATCGACCGGTCGGGGGAACGGGCATCCACTGGAAGTCCGCGGCTGTCAACGGGTCGAGCTCTTCAAGTCTTGACCACATCGACGAATCCCCTGAGGTAAATGATGGCGGAACTGCCGAATCGGTTGCCGATGGAGATGAAACCGTGCATGCGGTGGAGTGTTGCACGTGGAGTGGTTGGTCCAGCGGTGGGACCAAGTGGACAGCATAGTCCTCGTAAGTGACACGAGAACTTGCGACATTCGCATCCTCCCCAGATGTGTAGGAGGCCGCTAGCAAGGCGGCCGGATCAGGCAGAGTAGGAGGTGGAGTCGCCTCACCTCCCGCGCTACTCAGTTTCCCGAGTTGTTGCGAGGCCGAACATCCTCCTTCTCCTTGTCCTGGCAGAGGGAGGTCTTGTGCTTGCTGCTATTGCACCAGTAACAGCAGCCGTACCGACCACGATACTTGTATTCGGCCTCGGTCAAGTTAAACTTGACCCATGGCGCTGGCTGTCCTGTTCCAGCCGATGATGCGGTCTTCGCCTTCCCATTGTTCCGGGACTTGTTGGTGCTTCTCGGTTGGACAGCAGCCACCTGATCTCCTTCACTTGATGCCTTGGTGGCTGTCGGGTCGTCTCCACTGTCCGATTGGACTGCAGCGAAATGCTGCTGCCGCGGACCAGTCTTTACCTTCTCCACATAGGTTGGCTGCCATGCTGATTTCTCGTGTGCAACCGCCCTATTAGTCTTGATGATCTCCCTCACTTTGTCGGTGATCTCAGCGAAGGTTGAGTACTGCTCGTGATCACCAAGTGCCTGGCTCAGTGCAACACATGACCTATTGTAGAACTCTCGGCGCAGATGCGTAAATGGCAAGTCCAGATCCGGTGTTGCCGCGATCTTTTGCCATTCCGTGAGCCAGTCTCGTGTTGCCGAGTTGCCTTGGGTCATGGTGAAGAGGCGGTTGATGGCGAGAGCAGGCGCGTCGTCGACGATGAACCTCTTCTTCCACAACCGTGTCAACTCCTCCCATGTGATCTTGTCTCGAAGATCTACCACGTCGACGCCGTGAGTGGCTGCCAGATGGGTCAACCAAGTCTGGCATGCGCCCTTTGAGTTAAGGAAAAGGGCACCGATGTATGCGTGCTTGGCGACTGGCAGGATCCGAAGCTGCGTCGTGAATGCTTCCCACCAGAGGACCGGATCCTGATGCGTGTAGTCGTTGAACTTCTCGAGTTGGAAGGTTGGCATCTTGTACAACTTAGGATTGCCCTCCGAGTTCGTCGACTGCAGCTGCTGGACCTCGGTCTTCAAGGTGTGCAGCTGACTGCTGATGGTGGTAGGTGCAGCGAAAGCACTGATGTCGCCGAGCATCGCCACTACGTGGTCAACGCGTTCCTCCAGTTGGCGGCTAGACGGTTCACTGCTGGACGTACCAGCATCTGGTCCTGGTACAAACTGTTCCAGGTCCAGTACACGGGCATTGAGTGCCTGTGTTGCATCCTCGTGGCCCTGCACTATTCGGCGGAGGTCTGCCAACTCTTGGTGCTGTTTCTCTAGCTCGGCCCGTTGGTAGTTGCAAGTATACAACAGGCGTGACACGAGCTTGGAGAGAAACTCCTTGTGTTGCTCTTCCGGTGTCGGCTCGTCGCCGTTTGGTTTAAAGTGCCAGTACTTGAGCCTTTCAATGCTGGCTGCTTCATGGCGCTGCAGCAGCTCCTGGGCTTCCTTTCGGCGTGCCCTGGTGTGTGCCTCGGCTTCGGCCTGAAGCCGCTGCCTTTCAGCTGCCGCTGCCGCCTCAGCCTGTAGGCGGGCAGCCTCGGCTGCTGCCTGGCGCTGTTCCTCGGCCTCAATGAGCGCGAGCTGAGCCTGGACCCGCTGTCGGTATTCGGTGATGGACTCGTTGGCCAGTTGGCCTGGTAAGCCCAGCGCTGGTCCCGTCATGGTTGCTGACCTGGCACTGATGACATGCACTGCTGACGTGGCACTGATGACGTGGCACTGATGACGTGGCACTGATGACGTGGCACTGTAAAACTCCCGGAATGCAGACAAGGGGGTGGGTGGGAGGGAAAACGCAGGTAGGGATACCAACCCAACAATACTTTCCTCCGGCCCTGATCAACAGAAAAAATATATATATATATAAAAAATAAATAAAAGAGGACTACTTCCTTTTTTTTTTTTTTTTTTTTAGCTTCAGAGATTTCAGCTATGTATGCGAATATCAAAAATTTCGGATTTTAATATCGGAAAAAACGAACCGTTACTTCAGAGCTTCCAGATATTTGTTGCGTAACAACGAAAGACTAACATCCGAATTTCAGAAGAAGCGAAATGCTAATACCAGAAATTTCAGATGTTGTTGCGAAAAACGAAATGCAAATACAAGGATTTTCCGATATACTAAATACTATGATCACGAATTTTCAGATATGCAAGAAAAGAAAAAAAAATTCAGAGTTTTGACGAAGTCTTACCTGATTTACTAATCAAAAGATCAATAGATCGAGCAGGCTAACTCTTGATTGAGCGGTTCCTCTGAATGAGAAGTCCGCTCCGATACCAAACTGTTGCATACTAGATCATGCAAAACAGAACAAGAACCGACCTTTCATTTCGAAGTACAAGATGGCGAGCCGGAGACTTATCAATGATCCGACTCAATCAATGTTGCAGTACAGTCCCGACATTTATCATCATCATACAGTGGTGTGAAGGGCTGGCGCTCACACAGAATAGATAGCGCCAGACCCCAACATACACAGACGAAGGGGGAAGGGAAGAGACAGAGGGAGAGGAGAAGATGGGAGATATCGTCAACTCCAAGNGATCTGAGATGACGCGGTCAACCTCCTGATGACCATCCATAGAAGGAGGGTCCTGCGATCGTCGGCCCGGGAAGTCATCGCTCTTAGCTGGTGTATATGTTGCCAGCTTTGACGCGTGAAAAAGACTGGATGGACCGTCAGATGCTCAGGAATGTCGATCACAAATGAAGGGCCATCGGGCTCATCGCCCGCGGCTGATGTCACTGTCCATGGCCCAAACCACTTAGGGAGTAGTTTGCGTGAGACATCCTGTTCCAATGCAAACTCTTCCGAGGAGACCCAAACTCGATCTCCGGCGCAGATGGGACATGGTACGCGGCGCCTGTTGGCTTGCTGCTGCATGCGGACTTGAGCCTTTTGCATGTTTGTGCGGGCTTGAGCCAGCAATTCCCTGTACTTCCGGACGGAAGCGGGAGAACAAGCGGCGTCAATGTCGGCTGGTCGAGGGAGGAGAAGATCAGCGAAGATACGGCCTTTCCGTCCACCGTGGTGCAACTCRAATGGAGTCACACCGATCGCCGGGTGCACTGAAGTGTTGTAGGCGAACTCGATGTCGGGGAGGCGGTTAACCCAATCTTTCTGGTCCGGACGGATGAGCGTACGAAGCATCATTTGAGCGGTCTGATGTGCCCGCTCCGTCTGCCCGTCTGTCTGTGGATGCCGAGCCGAACTGGGTTTCATCGTCGTGCCGGACTCCTGCATGAGAGAGGTCCAAAAAGTCGACATGAAACGAGTGTCGCGATCGCTGACTATGTCCTCGGGTACGCCGTGGCCACAAATCCAACCGGTGTGCAAGAGGCGTGCCAGCTCGGGAGCCGTGGAGTAGTACTTGCAAGGAAGAAAACGTGCGTACTTGCTCAATCGGTCCACAACCGTGAGGATGCCGTCGTGCCCGAGCCGGTCTCGAGGAAACGGACCGGTGACATCTATAGCAATGGAGATACCGGGTTCCCGGGGGATAGGCATCGGGCGTAACTCGCCATAGGGATTGCGGTTGCGGGGTTTGCTGCGTCGGCAAACTTCGCAAGAATCGCAATACCGCATGACATCGGAAATGAGGTCGGGCCATCGGAATCGTTGTCGAAGCCGTGCAATCGTGCGATTGACTCCGAAATGGCCGGCGAGTCGCGAATCATGATACTCGCCGAGAAGGCTAGTCCGAAGACGGCGGTCGCGTGGGACACACAGTAAGTCCTTGCCTCTCGAGTGGAGGAGCAAGTACCCGTCAGCAATGCGATAGTGGCTGGCCGGCGGGTGATCCGAAGATAGCTGCGCATACAACGTAGCAAACTCTGGGTCAGACTGATAGCCCCTGATGAAGTGTCGCTGGAGGTCCTCGTCGAACGCGAAGGCGTGATGCGTCATAGCGCAAAGATCAGGTCGTCGCGAAAGTGCATCTGTTGCGCGATTGGAGAGGCCGTCAACGTGTTTCGGTGTGAAGTCAAACTGCTCGATGAAGTACATCCACCGTCCAATCGTGCTGCTCACGGTGTCCTGCGTCTTGTAGTCGGTCAATGGGTTATTGTCCGTGACCCATGTGAACCTACGACGCCCAAGAAGGAAGTGCCGCCATCGCTTGAGAGCCATGACGAACGCAAGCAGCTCCTTCTTCCTTGCATCATCCAGAGAATTGATGGGAGGCACTTTGTGGCTGAAATACTCCACAGGGTGCCAATCCTCGTCGTCGTGCTGCTCCAAGACTGCCCCAATGCCGTAACCGGAAGCGTCAGTCGTCACTCTCGTAGGCAGAGTGGGGTCGTAGATGCTAAGGACGGGTGCCATGAGCATGGCCGTCTTGAGTGCTTGGAAAGCCTGGCGCGCGTCGTCATCGAATACGAATGGCACCTTTGGCGATTGTAGTCTCGTTAGAGGTGCGGCAATCCTTGAGTATCCGGTGATGAAATGCTGATAATAGCCTGCCAACCCCATGAATGAACGAACGTCTGTGGTGTTGGTGGGCTCGGGCCATACGCGGATGGCCTCGATCTTGTCCACAAGAGGACGGATGCCTTGTGGCGTCACATAGTGTCCCAAGTACTCCATCTCTTGCCGCGCGAATTCACATTTGTCGCGGTTGGCTTTGTACTTGGCCTGTCGTAGCCGTTCCAGAACGGTGCGCAGGTGCTCCACATGCTCGTCCAAACCCCGACTGTACACCAAGATGTCGTCGAGGTAGATGAGTACGAAACGATCCAGCATGTGTCGAAACTCCAATGTCATAGCCGCCTGGAATGTGGCTGGGGCATTCGTAAGGCCAAACGGCATGACCAACCATTCGAAATGCCCATATCGCGTTTTAAATGCGGTCTTGTATCGGTCCTCCGGGCGAATCTCAAGTTGGTGATAACCCGACTTGAGGTCCAACTT